CCCCAGAAGTTTCTGGAATGAACAGCAGATATGTTTGTGATTTTTTTTTCTTCCTGTGAAAGAGCTAATTGGAATGGTAAAATTATGTTGATGAATACAATGGAATGATAAAATTGTATTAGGGAAGACAACTAAAGAGTAAAATTATGCTAATGTAAACAGTGAACTGTAAAGAAGGTAGATACTCCAGAGTTCTTAGTATAAAAAAACACTTTGTAAATGACAAGGACTTTATGAATCGTAGTGGAAGCCTTAATAAGACAAGTATTTTTGCTTGTTTTTGCTTCATACATTTTTCTACCTAAATGCAACATTTTTCCACTTAAACACAGTAGGAAAAAGTACTTATTAAAAATGACTACGCTTCTGAAATATCATTTATATCCCTTCAATGCTTGGGCTCAGCCTAGCTTGAAAAAGTTAAATGTTCAGCAAATACCCAGTTTTCTTCCACTATTTCAGAAAGCCTCTAATCACAAGAGATAATAGAGGACAAGTACAGAGGGGTGTTCCTTTAAGTTAATCCTTCCAAATGAGATAAAATATTTTGGAGCAGATATACGCTGACATGCAAAGTAGTAGCACAGAAAGAAAACTCATCTGGCTAACGAAAGGTAGCCTTCTTATTTTTTGTAGTTTATCTGAGATGAGATCTCTGTAGGTCTCTCCTATATAGTTTCTATTCTGGACCTAATGCTAGTTTCTCTAGTTAGCTCCAGCCAAATCTTGTGTAGACTCTTGTTTTTTAAAACTTACGATAGTATAAACTTAAGAATGGGTTGCTCTTTCCTGATAAATGCAGGTAAAATATCATGGAAAGATTATATGTTAACAGTTAAAGCTTGTTTTTTCCCAAGATAGTTGCTTCAAAGTCAGTTATATCTAGGCTACATAAACATCAAATCGATATTATTGATTAGTCCTCTTAATTTAATAGTCAGGTGTGACTTCTTCCTAATGGTATTGACATTGTTGAGAAAATAATGGACACAGAGGAAGGAGCATTGTACTTTGGTATATATTATGGCTCCTTAGTAACCAAGAGCTTGTGTGTTATGTTATGAAATTTGAAGAGCTCCTGAGTATTTGGAGTGGAGGAGAAATGGCTGCAAGAAGTTGAGCCCAGTGCTTTGTATTGGTTACTGTTCCAAATGGATACCTAATATTAGTAATATGAAAGGTTTTCAAAAAATTCATGGAAAGCATGTATTATGAAAAATCTACATGGCTTTCAAAACTTTTTGCACTAAAATAATTTGTTTTACTTCATTTTCCCACAAACTTTATGAAATCCACTAATGTTGATTATAAGAAATTGTTCTAAAATTTAGCAACTTAAAATAATAAACATTCCTAATTTCAGTGTTTCTGTGGGTATGAAATATGATTGTGCGTTATCTGGGTGGTTGTGGCTCAGGTTCTTCCAGGAAGCTGTGATCAAATTGTTTGCCAATGTTGTATTGTCCTCAAGGCTTAAACTGGACAAGATGTGCTTCCAAACTCGTTTATGTGGCTGTTGGCAAACCTTAGATCTTTCCTGGCTGGTGGCTGGAGACATCAGTTTCTTGCCATTATTAGACAGCTCACAAAATGACCGCTGGAGTGAGTGAGAGTAAGAAGTTGCCCAAAATGAAAGCCATAGTCTTGGTAACTTAACCTTGGAAGTGGCATCCCATCATATCTACTGTGCTTTCTCTGAGAGAATCTGGTCAGTAATATCAGGCCACTCTCATGGGGAGGAGATTACATAAGGTTGTGACTACCAGAAAAGTAAGAATCATTGGGGTACATCTTACCACACTACCTGCCTCAGCCCTACAGTTCCTTCAGAAGACTTAATGGGAAATACCCTCACCTCTCCACTCAAGTGATGGACTTGGACTCAGGCAGTGCAGTGAAAACAAGACTTTATTCATCTTGCAAGATGGGGTGTCTGATGAATAGGCACACCTGGAACAGTTACAGCAAACAATTTATATCCTAGCATGCAGGTGCCTCCCCTGGTTCCTCATTGCCTGTATACTGTGGGGTGTACAATCTTCCCAGATGTTGCCTAAGCTATGAAGGTAACTTCCTTGTCTATAATTTCCTCTTGTAATTTGGCTACTCCTTCTCTGTACTTTAATTTCCTCTTCTGAGTTGCCTACTGAGTTTTGCTACATCTGCAAGTCAGCTAACAGTAATTTACTATGTTGAAAATGGACCATTGGACATTTTCTTCCAGCTTAGTCTTGCGGTTACTTCGGAGGACCAGCACTCAGCAGTACTGTCTTCATCATGACATCTTGTGAACTTGAGGAGTTAACCTTTGTTCCACTATTGTGGACAAGGAAAATTCATAGAATCATAAATCCGCTCTGTGTTCTTTCTAGATGAAAGGTATCACCTAGTTTAATGATCCCAAGCATCTACAGCACCAAGAAACCATTTGATGGATTTTCACCATATACTATATGTTTAGAAAGGCTTTATGAACTGAAGAAAATACATTGTTAATTTGGTTCTGCATCACATAGAAATTTTTGGAATTGGAAACTATCAATTAGAGCTTCCAGTGACCCATGTTCATCCGCCAAGTTGGAAAACTTCCTGCCTTTGCACCCATTTCTACATGTTTATCTTAAACTCTTGGACTAGGACAACATGAATAATAATGTAGCTGATGTGCCTTGGTTCTCATTTGACAGAGGCTTCGATAGATGAATGCAGCTGAAGACGGAGATAGCGTGTACAAAAGGTACTCAAACAGTCTGGATTGCCCATTTAGGTTTACAAAAAGAAAAACTGCTTACTACGAGATTTTTCTCATTTCTCCCTCTCCTGTAGATTTGAGCTGTCAGTAAAACAGCTGCTTAAAAGGAAACAACTGTTTATCTCAGTTCTGTTACTGCTGGTAAACTGTGGGACAATTTGACATAATTTTTTTTCTGTAACCACTTCCATAACTCTGGTCCCCTTTTTTGTTTCATATGTATGTCAAGTACTATCCATCTCGGGGTTTTTGCTCATCCTATTTCCTCAGGCTTCAATGCTGCTCTTAGTTGTACCTGGCCACTGATGTCAGATCATCCGTAGTCTCTTTGCAGTGTGGTTATTTTTTTTTATTTTTTTTATTTTTTATTTTATTTTATTTTTTGACAGGCAGATTGGACAGTGAGAGAGAGAGACAGAGAGAAAGGTCCTCCTTTGCCGTTGGTTCACCCTCCAATGGCTGCCACGGCCAGCGCGCTGCGGCCGGCGCACCGCGCTGATCCGATGGCAGGAGCCAGGAGCCAGGTGCTTTTCCTGGTCTCCCATGGGGTGCAGGGCCCAAGCACCTGGGCCATCCTCCACTGCACTCCCTGGCCACAGCAGAGAGCTGGCCTGGAAGAGGGGCAACCGGGACAGAATCCGGCGCCCCAACCGGGACTAGAACCCGGTGTGCCGGCGCCACTAGGCAGAGGATTAGCCTAGTGAGCCGCGGCGCCGGCTGCAGTGTGGTTATTTGACCATTGGAGTACAAATCTGTGCCATCATGCATTAGGAGACCTGGGAGGTGTCACAGTGGCTAGCCACACAGAAATGTGTCTCATTTGATAGATAATACCAATAAATAGATTTGCTCATTAACTGAAAAGTACATCACACACTTGAAATAAACTCGGGACAAGGCCAAAAACTGCAGATAATGAGAAAACATGGTAAAGAAACGATTTTCCCCCAAGAATCTAATGACCTAAGTCAGAGTGATTTAGATTCACTGAATCTGTGTAATAAGTTTGAAGGAAAGGAAACATTGCACTTTTTTTTAAAAAAAGATTTATTTATTTATTTGAGAGAGTTAGAGAGGTAGAGACAGAGAGAGGTCTTCCATCCGCTGGTTCACTCCCCAGTTGGCTGCAACAGCTGGAGCTGTGCCGATCCGAAGCCAGGAGCTTCATCCGGGTTTCCCATGCTGGTGCAGGGGCCCAAGGACTTGGGCCATCTTCTGCTGCTTTCCCAGGCCATAGCAGAGAGCTGGGTGGGAAGTGGAGCAGCCAGGACTCGAACTGGCACCCATATGGGATGCAGGCACTGCAGGTGACAGCTTTACCTGCTATGCCATGGCGCTGGCCCCCAACATTGTGCTTTAGATACTAGCGAAGTCTTTGGAAATCTTGGTGGTGGGATTTAACCTGTTCTGACTTCCCAATGATAAAGCAAGAGTAAGAATGCACAGAGGAAATGGGGGGAGAGTACTAGAGAAAAGAAAGATGTGTAGTAAGCAGATGAAAGTGGGAAGACACAAATACATCTGCCATCTGAAGCACTGGGTGATTGAAGTCTGACTGCAGCAGCGAATTTCATTCTTTCCCAGTACTCATGCCACTCGGCTCTGGGTACACAGAGGCTTTATTGGATTATTACATCTGTGACACTATAGCTATTAGTCACCCTCAGCCGTAAGACCTGACAATATAATGATGTTCTATTTTTGACTTCTGTCCTGATGACATCCCAAAAGTACTGAAATTTTGACCAGAAAATTAATCTCTTTACATTTGGACAAGAAGTAAAGAGACAGGGAATAAGTCTACATTAAAACTATAATCTCTAAAGTTGTTTAGAAACACTTTGTATTAAGTGTTTGGGGCTGAATTTTGCATTATACTTTGTTAGTCTTTCCCAGAGGAACTGATGGAAGAAATGGCTGATCAAAAATATTAAAAAATTAAAAAAAATATTAAACAGATATGTGTACATACACACCCACAGTTGTAACTGATTATTTTGCAAGATTAAGAAAGGAATGGCTATCTTTTGTGCCACATACCTGTTTCCCTGATTATGCACATGAAACCAGCTTCCTCATCCAAAGTTTAAATGTTTTTCTTTGGAAATCATTGGGCTGGGGGGGGGGGTGATCCTTTGACAGGGTATTCAATGGACTTTTCCAGTGTACTCTGGAAATACAAGAAATAGTGTCTAGTGGTTAAGGTGGTATACACATGTAATTAAAATGAAGAAGCATTGAATCTAATACTGGAAGATGAACACAGCAGAATATTTATGTTCTCTTCTATGTTGAATTTCTGGTAAAATCAGGCCCCAGTCAAGGGCTTCCCTGTACTCTTTGCTAATACTGAGCCAAAGGTCTCACACTGTTCAAGTCGGAAGGACCCTAGAGACCACTCTCCACTGTGTAAGTGGTGTGATGGTGTATTAGTGAGACAAAGGCCACACAGGTTGTGATTGAGCTGAGAAATAGGGTCTTGTGTTTGCTATGTTTTGGTAGTTCCCTGCCACCATGCATCTTTCCACTCTGGAGAACTGAAAGTTCATGTTTCCAGGAATTTAATAGTTAAATTAACTCTTTTTCCATGTGAAGGAAGGAAACCATAGTGATCTTAAATGACTTATTCACAGGGAGGGGACTAAGAATCTACTTCACCATGCCATGGCCACAGCTCTTTTTGATAACTGCATCAATATTTAAGAAGAAATGCTATACAATTAATAGGTTAATGTTCTAAGACCACTGGGAAGGTACTGCCATTACAAAGGCTTTACCATCCCTTCTAGAACTCAGTTTTGTAGGGCTTCATAAATGCACAACTAGATTACTGTTAGGGTTGAAACATTTAGAGATGAGAGAGGGCAAGTGATATGGGAGAACACAGTTGAATCCGATAGGAGTTTAGCCTTATAGGAGCTTTGGAACATGTAGTTAGCATGTTTTATAAGCCTGTAATTAGAAAGCAGTAGAAAGCACTACTTTTGAGGTTTGGAAGTGGTAGTATTCAGAGTGTTAACTGTAAGGCATAGATACAAGGGACAGGAGAGTGTCTTAAGCACATGATGTCTATAATGTTGACTCTGGCAAAGACAATAAATAGAACAATTAGATGCACTGGGAGAAAATAGAATATATATTTAAATGAATAAGAGTGAAGCACAGAGCTGGTGTTAACCCTGGGGATACACTATCAGTTTTCTATTTAGAAAGTTTGAAATCTCAGATTTTACACTAAAAGCTGCTGTTAATTTGAATGTTGTTTACAGATTGCCATACTGCTTGCATTAAAATTATCACCCCTGTTGCAGCTTGATAATATTTTTTTAAATATTTATTTGAAACAGAGTTGGGGAGAAAGAGATCTTCTGTCCACTGGTTCACTCTGCAGCTTGCTGGTACGGCTAGTGCTGGAGAAGTCCAAAGCCAGACACTCCATCTGAGTTTCCCATGTGGGTGGCAGGGGCCCAAGTACTTGGGCCATATACTGCTGCTTTTCTCAGTCTGTTAACACAGAGCTGGATCAGAAGTCGAGCAGCCAGGACATGAACCAGTACCCATTATGGGATGCCTGTGCCATTAGCGGCAGCTTTACCCATTGGGCCGCAGTGCTAGCCCCAATAATATTTCTGTTGAAATTATTCATCCTAGTGTTGAAGGGATTCTGTGCAAGTCAACAACGTCATAAGTTCTTACAGTACTTAAAAGAAAAACTGTATTCCACAGTGGTGTGCAAACAGTTATGAACCAAATTGGCTATCTGTTGTTCTGTTTCAGGCCTTTCTATATTTAAAGGCTATCAGGAATGCTATGAAAGGGCCTCCTAAAAGAGGACAGGAATTTAGCCCAGATGACCTGTAAGGTTTCTTGAATATACCATTTGGTGAAGGGCTGAATTTGTGGTGGATGGGATAGAAATCATCTGCAAGTGACATTTAAAGGCTTTGCTTTTTTTTTTTCTTCTTAGAACTGATAACCAAAATTCTTCTTGCCAAAGTACAAGTTTACCTTCCTGTTTATGCTATCTATTCATTTACCACACAATTTGCAATAATAGAGTGTTATGTTCAACTTCATGATGCTAACACTTTGAAAATGTTTTTTTCTTTACATGCCACTTGCAGAATGCTCTGTCATACCTAAGCCTTGTGTTATTGAAAAGCAAAAATGACCAAGAACTTCGCTGAGATCCCTATATACATGAATGTGTTTGAAATGGACAAGTGGAGAATTTATAGGAGCTCTGATTGAGGATATTTGGGGAGTGTTATTCCCACTCAGTGCACTTGTATGTGTATGTGTGGCAGACTATACCACCTATAAGGTCAAACGTTCAGTTGGTAGGCCTGCTTTTTACTTTTTCTTTTTTTTTCTTTTCTTTTCTTTTCTTTTTTTTTTTTTTTTTTGACAGGCAGAGTGGACAGTGAGAGAGAGAGACAGAGAGAAAGGTCTTCCTTTTGCCATTGGTTCACCCTCCAATGGCCGCCGCGGCCAGCGCGCTGCGGCCGGCGCACCGCACTGATCCGATGGTAGGAGCCAGGAGCCAGGTGCTTTTCCTGGTCTCCCATGGGGTGCAGGGCCCAAGCACCTGGGCCATCCTCCACTGCCTTCCCGGGCCACAGCAGAGAGCTGGCCTGGAAGAGGGGCAACCAGGACAGAATCCGGCGCCCTGACCAGGACTAGAACCTGGTGTGCCGGCGCCGCTAGGCGGAGGATTAGCCTAGTGAGCCGCGGCGCCGGCCTTTACTTTTTCTTAAGCAGTGGTTCCTGACTTTTTTTTTTCCAATCACAGAACAAGGTTATAACCTTTTGACATAGTATATAATTTCTTTGGAAAAATAGGTCTTTATACGTACTCATAGATATTGACAATTCTCCAGTGGTGCAAGGATCAAATTGAGAATTCAGTGTATTTCCTAAGGTAAGAATCACTATTAATGTTTTCCAAGCAGTTGTTTCTTGATGTTATCATAAGGTCTTTAAAT